ATACAAATATTTGACGGGGGAGGTGCCCTATGTTTTCATAGATAAATATCCTCCCGGCAAAATTTCCATCTATATTTTGGCCATAGATTTGGCCCAGCCACTTTTCCAGCAAAACACCTCTTCGGCAGATTGTCAAGATTCATTGGATACCGTGAGGATCTCATGGAATAAAGTCCGCCTTAGACTGACGAAGGCCATTAACCCGAAACCATGGTCACAAGGTGAACGCTTTTCAGTTTTCCAAAGCATGTGTTGTGGCTTTGTAACCGAACCGAGGTCGCTGGTTTGCGGTGACGGTCAATAGATGGCATCTAGTTTTGACGCTCAATTTGACGGGAAAGGCGCCCTATGCTTTTATAGATAAATACCCATATAGAAAAAGATCTTGTATCCGAAAATGCCACAACAATCAACTTGTGATAAAAGTGGAGTTAGTAAATACTAAAACGTCATAAATAGACCCTGACAGAAACATCTGTGACCATAACTTGTACTTCCCAGTCCTTCTTCCTTGACATGTTTCTAAATGTGGGATGTCCCCAACTTCATCTCATTGGTGACTACGTTAAGTTATGACAATCGCCTAACAGTACTGTGTCACATACACAATTAGTGATCGTTCAACGAGTATTGACATTAGGTATTAGTCGTTCTATTTGAAATATCATAGTTAATCATATTATTAAATCTATTGACAGTATAAGATAATCAGAGAGACGTAAAAAAACTAGGATCAATCTATTGATCGTCTCTTCAATCTAGCTGATTCGAGTTTTTACTTTTAAGACTAGTAACTCAATAAAACGAAATCTAATACAGTAGAACCTCCCTTTAGCGGACACCTCTCCACAAAGGACAGTTTTCATTTGCAAAATTCAGAAGTGTATTGCCAAGATTTGAAAGTCATGCATCTGAGATTGTCAGAAAAAAAATGCCCAGTTTGGTCAATAGGAAAGGCGTTGTTCTGCTTCACGATAACGCACGGCCACACTCTCCATTTACAACCCAACAAAAATTGCTTAATATATTATGAAGTTCTAGCTTACCCTCCTTATTCACCTGATCTTTGTCCACTACCGATTTCCATTTTTCAAGCATTTGGATAATTCCTTATATGGGAAAACGGCTGATCAACCGGAAAGATGTGGAAACCACCTTTTTGTATTTTTTGGCCTCAAGACAACCAGACTTTTAATAAAATGGCATAAAAATGTTACCATCACGTTGGCATAAGTGCTGTGATTCTAATGGTGCCTATTTTGTTTGAATAAACTCATTTTTGGCTTAGATATGGTGTCTTTAATTGGCCGCTTCCAGAGGGCCATTATTCATGGGACAACCTGACACTTTAAGATAGGAAATCTAATCATCTTGAAGTACCTGTGTTTTCAAGTAACAGTAGGCGCTAAATTGTCGTTATTACACTGCTATTGTGCCCAGTGATTTTAAAACATCTTAGTCTGCCATGGCTATGATTGCTTGAAAATTATTCTTAAACTTATTAATTATTGGAATGAATTTTTTTATTACATAAACTTAGATTGTCAGTTTCACACATTGACAAAGTTGTTTCTATTGTAAATTACTTTTACGTTTTTACATAAATTCAATTGCCATCTATCGTTTAAAATTTATAATATATATTTTTGTCAATGTGCTTTCTTTTCACATATATCACAGATTTTATCTCTAAAAACCCTACTACAATGATAAAAATTGTTGAATAAGAAGGCTTGGCTCATCAGTGGTGAACCCTCAGCGGTTTCGCTAGACCGCTCTACTATTATATTGGATTGGTTTTCTTATATACCCTATATTTACTAAGGAAAGGATCTTAGTGGTGTTTTAGGGAACCTATGGACATAGGCTTACAGGTCTGTTGAGGATCATACATATAGGTACTAAAAATTGAATCAAGCATTGCTCTTCAGCAAAAAAAAAATTCACATCAAAGTTAATATTAACAAATTATATTTATAAATTCAATTGCTATCAATTTTTATGTGTGTAGTGTGCAATAAATTAATAAAGAGGAAGCAATTCTTCAAAATATATATAATATATTTTGAAAAATATTGTCTTTTAATCTTTTTTTCATCGCAGAAAGTATAGTAGGAATTTTTATTTTATTGGAAATGTGGGATTTTTATCTCCGGTCGTCCCTTCTTCATACGTAAAGCTTTTAATTAGACTATGCAAATTTGTACTATTCAAATTAACAAGTAAATGACAATTAGTACCAATGTGAAATTGTACTGGGAAAAGCAGCTCCTAATCTTGCAACTGAAATTTGATGACAACTTACGAAATGTGTCGTAATTAATATCAATTGATTTTATCTATTCCAGTATAATGGCCGAATACCCTTTAATCAGGAAAGTGTATTTGGTCAATATTCAGTGGAATAATAAAAAAAATCAACGATTGTAATTCCGATAGATGGCTCAAACCATCAGCAACTTTCATTTTCATGATCAAGAGATGCTTTTTAAAATTAATTTTAAAAAAGTAAAGTTACGAGAAAAAGAAAGAACGATTGAATAAGTTAAAAATTAGAATAATATTTTTTAAAAGCTTTTTCGAACGTAAATTCTTTTCAGGACTGTAGGAGAACGGTTTAAGTTCGAAAGCTCGCCTTTTAAAAATAAAAGACAACAATGACAGCTAAAGCCTTTTCTTAAGACATATGTGGCGGACCAATACTAGCAACTAATCTTTCATTTATTTTTATATATATATATATATATATATATATATATATTTATTTTGTTATCTAAATAGCAACGTGGATTTTCACTTGAATGTGTGACAATTGACAATTAAAAATAGTTTATTGAAATCTAGTCAATGGTCAAGAGAGAGTTTACAGAGTTTAAATGGTAGAGAAAAATACATACACCAGACGAGGCCTTCTCCAAAGGTACGTCTGGATCCTATCAGGAGCTTAGAATCGTCTTGAGTTCAGACTTGCGAGTTATAGTATCCGTGTCCCCAGCATGCTCAACGACTGTGTTGAGGAACTGTGTGGCGATGACAGCCGCAGCGTGACCGTATATAGACTCGTTCTCAAATCTAAGAATAATAATAAAAACATAAATATATTTTGATCATCTGATGTCTCATTTCTACTAGATCACTCACGATTGTAATGCAATTATTTCAAATGTTTTTTTTTTAATTGGGTCATTTTAAATTATAATATTAGGCGTACAAATAAGTTTTGAGGGATTTTTTTTTTTTTATAAATTCGAAGCTTTATTCAGAGAAATCAGTACAATATATTTCATTCAAAGTATTGTCCATTTTTAGCTACGACTTTTTCCCATCTTTCAGGCAGCATACAGATTCCGTGTCGAAAAAATTCCTCGTCTTTTGAGGCGATCCAAACATTGACCCAATTTTTCGCCTCTTCGTAAGAAGTGAAGTGCTGCTCGGCCAGGCCATGTGTCATGGAACGGAACATGTGGTAGTCTGAAGGAGCAATGTCTGGTGAATACGGCGGGTGGGGTAGGGCATCCCATTGAAGCGCCTCCAAAGTCTCCTTGACAACTTTTGCAACATGTGGCCGAGCGTTGTCGTGCTGATAGATCACCTTGTCATGTCTTTTGGCATATAGTGGGCGTTTAATCTTCAATGCTCGGCTTAATCGCATCAATTGTTGTTGGTAACGTTCTCCAGTGATGGTTTCGTTAGGCTGAAGTAGCTCATAGTAGATCACTCCGAGCTGATCCCACCAGATGCACAGCATTAGCTTCTTGCCATGAATATTCGGTTTGGCCGTTGAAGTTGATGCATGACCGGGCTTAACCCACGTTTTTTTGCGCTTTGGGTTTCGTAGTGAATCCACTTTTCGTCCCCCGTCACGATTCGATGCAAAAAAACCTTCCGATTTTGTCTTTTGAGCAGTAGTTCGCACGTGCAAATACGGCGCTCGATGTTTCTTGGCTTGAGTTTATATGAAACCCAATTTCCTTGTTTTTGCACCATACCCATGACCTTGAGACGGTTCGAAATCGCTTGTTGAGTCACTCCCAAGGTTTCAGCGAGCTCCTCTTGAGTTTGGCTTGAATCTTCGTCCAATAAAGCCTCCAACTCAGCGTCTTCGAACTTTATTGGCCTCCCTCCGCGTTCTTTGTCTCTGGTGTCAAAATCGCCACTTTTGAAACGCCGAAACCAGTACTCACATGATTTTATTGATTATTATGTTCCCCATATGCCTCACACAGCAATCGATGTCCATCAGTTGCACTTTTATTCAAATTAAAACAAAAAAGCAGCGCTTCCCGCAAATTGTGTTTTGTTGGCAAAAAGGTTGACATGGTTAGAGCACCAAAAAAAAGTTCCTTACACTTGAGTGAAAAGACTTCTGATTTTTTTGGGGAAATGATGAAGCCTTAACATGAAACCTTACATGGTCCGATGCTATTTATATAATATTTGTTGTAGCTTCTTTTGCAAATCCCTCAAAATTTATTTGTACTCCCAATATTATAATAAAATATGTATATATATATATGTAATATACCTTATAATAATATTATAATATACTCTGTTTAATTAATTTATTTTTGATTGTTTGGATTTAGCAGCACTATAATTATTGTTGTTGTTATGAATATATTAAAAAGTGTATGTTTGACATTAGAAAGCGATATAATTGAAATTTGTTTCTTGATTTGGTAAAGTATATTTATTTATTTAATCGAAGAGAGAGAGAGAGAGAGAGAGAGGAACATCACAATGTGGATAAGAGATAATTTTCTATAAAAAAAAATACAATTTAAGAAAAGGATACTCATTGTTAACTGAATCCATTGTTAGTTTTTTTTCCTCAAAACTATATTTATACTTGTCTTCTCTACCTAACGGGCAAATCCACGCTATTATTATATTTATGGATTCGTACATGTATCGTGAGGTAGACAAATTATTATTTAAACAACAGCAGACTTTACTGTATTATAAATTACTTTATGTATTATTTACGAAGGGAAAAATATGTCAAGGATAGCCTAGTTGACATGGCTTTTGCCCAGTAAGCGAAACACTGTGGGTTCGATTCCCATCTCTGGACACTTTTATTTTTTCCTTTTATCATTACTCTTCACAATTCATCCTTTCATACCTCATTCCTAAGGTTAGAAGTAATCGTTATTTCTCTTTTGAAATTATTTTTATTTTTCGTTCACACAAAAGAAACACATGCGGGATAATTTTTATAGTCGTTTTACAACAGCAGACTTTGTCCAACGTCATTTTACCGTGACATCTTTGAAAGACAATGAAGGAAGTGTTTTTTGAAGAGTTAACGTCATTTCTTGATTACGTCACCGTAGTTATGTAATACACACTGAGACAATTAAACAAAAAAGCGCGAGTTACACAATTCACTCGCTATTTTTAAAGCATTATATGAAATTATGATAGCTTTCAAAATTTTATTGACACGGGTTATTTTATAAAATTAAAATTTGGGTAAAGATAGGTAACATATGTTGTTTTATAAGCAAAATTTACGAATAATTATCTACGCAAATATGCAAATAGGTAAGCTTCAATAGCTTAGCGCTATTTTTATTTTTTGTAATCGATTGTATACCATTGTTAGGAGGATAGAAAACCTTGCTAAATATAATCTGCAGCTTCTTAATTATTACATTTTAGTCATAAATTTAATATTTAGTTTAGACATTATTATATTTAAGCAGTATATTGCATGCCAGATATGCGCATTGTTAGGAGTCTAGAAAACGTTGCTAAATATATAGTTTGTTTATCAATTACTAGACGGGTGACCCGGGCTTCGCCCCGGGATTGACCCGTGTGCATATCTACCCGAGTGATATATATTTAGATAAGATTTTTTTATAATTGTTTGTTATTAGCATTATCTATTTGTTTGCATCAGCATAATTTAATCGTTGATAGATGGGGGTTGTTCGTGAGCTAAGTAGAATAATTTGAATATATAGTTTTAATAATTTATTTATATATATATTTTAAAATAACCTATCGTCTTCCCGGTATTTTTTTTACCTATGTATGGAAATTTTGGTTTGAATTAGTGAACTACTGCGAATTTGTATACCGGACATACATACAAACAAACAAACATACAAACAAACAAACATACAAACATTGATTTTTATATATATAGATATTGTTATAGGAACTTTTATATTTCGTTCACTTCCACTGGTGTATTTGATGAATAACGACGGAGCAAACGCTAAGAAAATTAGAGGAAAGTTATTCAATGTGAAGTAACAATCATGTGCAGAGCTAAGTGTCAGCTGTGGAAAAATGTTTCAGGAGATAGAAAAACGGCCCAACATAAAGGAAGGTATTGCTTATATCTAGCAGTACATCAACCTATACTTGTAACATAGCATGGAAAAAGAATCGTTGTAGAGAGACTCTGAAAACAATATCCAAGATATGGAGTGTCCTTAATATGTGGTAGCAGGCTTGATATTAATTCCTCAGATATATAGAATATATAGCAGGTTCTAATAATTCATATTATGAAGAATATATTAGCCATATTATTCTTTTAAACATTTTTAAAATATATAAAGTATTTATAACGCACCCATATATTTCTTTTTTTAATGCGATGATAAATATAGTGAGGTCCGGAAACACCGCTATCAAAATATCTCTCCTCAGAGAGATCCTACCAAACTAGCATCTCTTCTCGCGATCAAAGAAACGGTACGCGAGTGGGAGCCACGTTCTTCAATCACGCCAAGGTTTGGTTTGAACTGCTATTTGGCGCGATGGGTTATGTGCTATGTACTCGGTGGATTCCTGTGGTTGTGGTGTGGGGGTCGATCCTGGGTTCATACGTCCTGGCGTTGCTCAGCTTGGGACCTTTCGGCCTGGCGATGGCCTTACACGTCGTGCTGCCGCTACTAGCTTGGAGTTGCCTCGCTGTGACGTTCGCCAGGCCCGTAGCCGTGCCCCAGGCCTTCCATCTCAGCAGGGAGGACGCGCAGGTGGTCCAGCTGGGCCTCAGTCTCGACATCTCCCGACTTGTTCTCATCCGCTGCGGCCGCGACCTGCCTCTACATCAGCGAGATGAAGCCGGCGTACCGCGGTACTGTAAACGCTGTCGTCTTCTCAAACCCGACCGATCCCACCATTGTAACATCTGTGGGCACTGTCAACTGCGTCTTGATCATCACTGCGTCTGGCTTAGCAACTGCATCGACTTTTCCAACTACAAGTTCTTTGTCCTCTTTCTCTTCTACAGCACCCTCTATTCCTGCTTTATGATGGCGCTCAGCTACGACTTCTTAATCAATGCCATGTTCTTTTCAAAGTCCACAGAACTTCTTCGGAGACTTGACGTCTTCTTTTTAGCGTTTATTTCCACCCTCTCTGCCGCATGCTTGGCAATTCTGCTGTTCTATCATGTCTTCCTGATCGCCAACAACCTGACGTCGCAGGAAGTCTTCAAGGTGGCCAGACAGAGGAACATCTATGATGAAGGATGGAGGAAGAATTTCTGCACCATATTCGGCTACAACCCGCTCCTCTGGCCTCTGCCCATATTTACCTCTCTCGGGCAAGGCGTGGACAAGTTTCCGCCTCAACTGAGTAAAAGACATTCTGATGACAACATTGTTTCAAATACACAATAAACATTTTTACAAAATAATAATTCTATATGTTTATTTCAATCCCAATATACGTCTGATTACTATGAAATTTCTCACATTTTGCTAGACCGTGTGCGTGCTTAGAATATGGTATATTAATTTTTTGTTTCTTATAACATCCATTTATTCAAGTTGCCGATATCAGGCCAACTGTGTATTGGATAACGAAGAAGACGACACTGAATAATGAAATATAAATACACTGCGTGACATTGAAAATGGAACACCAAGAAATAGTGGCCAGAAAGTGATGAAACTCGGCAGACAGAGAGAGACAGGGACGAACAATAAATGATCTTTATTTCAAAATGATAGTCATAATACAGAGCGAGAACGGCGTCGGCTTAGTAGCAAGTAGGACCACCGCGGACGGCGATGCACGCAGCAACACGTCTAGGTAGAGAGTCAATCAGAGTACGGATGGCGTCCTGAGGGATGGCTCTCCATTCCCTCTCAACCATTTGCCACAGTTCGTCTTCTGAACGCGGCTGTGGCAAGGCATGCAAACGGCGTCCAATGATGTCCCAGACGTGCTCGATTGGTGAGAGATCAGGAGAGTACGGTGGCCAGGGAAGCATCTGTACATCTTGCAGAGCTTGTTGGCTAATGCGAGCAGTGTGCGGTCGGGCGTTATCCTGCTGATAAAGGGCATTGGGTACCCCCTGAAGGTAGGGGAGTGTCACCGGTCGCAGCACATCATCAACGTATCGTTGGCCGTCATAGTGCCCTGAATACGAAGTAAAGGTGACCTGGAATCATACGCAATTGCGCCCCAAACCATTATTCCACGTTGTCGCACGGTGGGGCGTTCCACAATTGCTGCTGGATTGGACCTTGCTCCACGTCGACGCCACACGCGTACACGACGACTATCACTGGACAAGCAGAAACGCGACTCATCTGAGAACACGACCCTGTGCCATTCCGTCATCCACGTCGATCTAGCCCGGCACCATTCCAAACGTTGGCGCCTATTCGGTGGGGTCAATGGCAGTCTTCTTAGCGGACGGCATGAGTGCAAGCCATTAGCAACCAATCGACGGGAAATGGTTCTGGTCGAGATGGAATGATCTAGGGTGTCTTGCACATGTTGCAGGATGGCGGTACAAGTGGCTTGTGGGGCCGCCACTGCTTGTCGAAGGATACGCCGATCCACACGTGCTGACGTCACTCTGGTTGCACCGGCATTCCTATAAATTGCCACATTTCCTTGTTCCAACCATCTTCTCCACAGTCGGTGCACCGTGGACGCACCAAGGTGTGTATCAGCTGCGATTTGACGTATGGACCAACCTGCCCTTTTCAGTCCGATCACCATGCCCCTCGTAAAAGCGTCTGTCTGCTTGAACTGCCTCCGTTTACGATGACCTGGCATTCTCTGTTATTACACGTGTCTTTTGACACAAGAACAAAATTTCTACAATGATTTTCCTTGAAGAAATAACGACACGAATACTGTCCTTTCTGCAAGTTCCTTCCCTTATATCTTACTCCATGTGCGCACGAGTGCTGCGCATTTTACATCATTTGCATAACTCGGTTAGGCGCGTCTACCCTGAAATTTGCATCATTTTCTGGCCACTATTTTTTGGTGTTCCATTTTCAATGTCACGCAGTGTATATAGCTTTAATATAAACCTGGCTCTATATCACTAGCAAATTAACTTGCTGTTATTGATTTTAAGAAGTATTATTTATTCAGCCATAGGATATGCTGTTGTTACATTATCAGCATGCTTCACACAATATATGGACTCGGGCCAACTTCCCCTACTTATCCTCCTAGAGGGGTAAATGTTCAATAAATAAGTAAATAAATAAAAAAACGCTCTAATTAATGGTGTATAAATGAACCTAAAGTAAGAACATTTTCCTTCAGTTTTTCAGTTATTTATCAGGTCCTGGTTTTCATTGACGCAATGCTTCTCTATCTTGAATTCTTCTCTTTAGCTCCCTCTTCTTAATTTTCCTTTATATCCAGTTCATCAGTACTTCTTCTCTCCGTTTTCTTTCCATTCCTTTACCTTCCATAGCTTGTATCATCAATCCATTTTCTTTTAGTAAATGTCTCCTCCCATTCCTCTGACTTTTTCAAAATATCTTCATTCCTGATCCTGTAAATCCATTTTATTATTTTCATTATTTTCCGCATATTTCAAGTTCTTTCAAATTTCTTTCATATGCTTTTCATGTCGACTAAGTACACGACCCATATAATACATATTCCAAATAAGGGTCTTCACCAGCCTATCCTGCAATTATTTACTAAGCTCTTACCAAATTTTCCGGTTTCTTTCTTCTATTAAAAGCCTCCTTCAACATTGTAATTCTTGTTTTTTTTATATATCTACTGTGCATTTTTCACGTTGCTGACAGTGTTGGAGGGAAAGCTCCAAGGGAAGAGATCGAGG